TGGGTTCAGCCCTGGGCTGGTGGCTCTGGATTCAATAACAAAGAAAGTTGAGGAAGCCATGAAGTGTAAGCCATTAAGGGGCAGTTCCTTATGATTTCTGCTTAAGTTCCTACCTCCATGTTCCTGCTGTGCTTTAGTCCCTGACTAAATTAATTCTGTGGTAAGTTGTGATGTGGAACAGCAGCGAGTCGAAATAAACCCTTCCTATTGAAGCAGGTGCAGAGACTCACAGCCAAAGTTTGGACAGAGAGCAGGGAGTCTTAGGGAAGAAGGAGGAGATAGAAGGACCAGGAAAGGACAGGAGCCACACAAGGAGACCAACAAAGCCAAAATCTCTGGGCCCAGGTGAGACTGCAGAGACTAGTGAATCAATAAAGGACCGTGTGTAGAGAGGACTTAGACCTCCTGCTCAGATGTAGCACATGGGCAGCTCAGTCCCCAAGTGAATTCCCTAGTAAGGAGAGTAGGGCTGTCTCTGACATGGACCAGCTCTTTGATCACCTCGCCCTGGCGAGGTGGTCAAACTAGGCCACAGAGAAAGAGGATCCATGCAGTCCTGATGAGACCTGATAAGCTAGGGTCAGACAGTAAGGGGGAAGGACCTCCCATATCAGGGGAAAGGGGAGAGGAACAGAGGAAGAAGAGGGAGGGAAGGTGGGACAGTGAGGCAATGAGGGATGCAAGGTGAATAAATTATTAAAAAGAGTAATAATAAAAGAAATAACCCCTTCCATCTACAAGTTGCTTTGGGTAATGATGTTTTATCACTAGAATCACAATTTATGAATAAAAACAATCTCAAATTATTAAAGTTATTAGAGTTTTCAGGGGCTAAACAGATGGCTCAATATTTAAGACTATTGGCTGTTCTTCCAGAAGAATCTGCATGAGAGCTCATAAACTTCTGTGACTTCAGTTCCAAAAGACTTGAAACCTTCTTCTGGCTTCTGGAGATATCAGACATGCAAGTGCAGTCAAAACACCCATAGACATAAAAATAATAAAATAAAATAATTTTAAAGGTCAAGAATTTTTTACAAAAATGAATTTTATAACTATTTGTTAATAATTTCAATAATAATATTACTTGTTCATTCATTTTATCTCATAAACTCTTAATTTGAACCAAATATTCTCTTCTCCTCTCACTGTCAACAAATGTCTAAGACTTAGTCATTTAGTACCATAATGACAGACCTAAGAGAACCACAACCTTGAAATCATATATAGAAAAGTCACACTAAACAGATGCAGCAGGATATGTTTCTTTTTTCCCTTTATTAGTATTATTATTTATTACAATTTATTCATTTATTCAATTTGTATCTGAGTTGTGGCTCCCTTCCTCATCTCCTCCCAATTTCACCCTCCCTCAATCTTTTCCCCCTATGCCCCTCCCCTGATCCACTGATAGGGGAAGTCATCCTCCCCTTCTATCTGACCTTAGCCCATCAGGTCTCATCAGGACAGGTTGCATTGTCTTTCTTCATAAGAGACCCTACACTCTGCTCAAAGTTTGGCTATGAATCTCAGCCTCTGCTTTGATACCTCAATCTGTCTTTCACAGGCTCTCTGTGGTTGGCTGTTGTCCTCTTCCCTGTCTTCTCCTGCTTCCAATGTCTATCTCCTTTGTCTTCCTCATTGAGAATTGAGCATCTTCCCTAGGGTATTCCTTATCATTTAGCTTCTTTAGGAGTATAGATTTTAGTATGATTATCCTATATTATATGGCTAATATCCACTTATGAGTGAGTATATAACATGTGTGTCTTTCTGCTTCTGGGATACCTCACTCAGGATGATCTTTTCTAGTTCCCACCATTTGTTTGCAAATCTCACCATTTCCTTGTTTTTAATAGCTGAATAGTATTCCATTATGTAAATACATACAATTTCTGTATTCATTCCTCCATTGAGGGATATCTCAGTTGATTCCAGAACATGGTTGAGCAACTGTCCTTGTTGTAGAGTTGAGCATATTTTGGATATATGCCGAAGAGTGGTAAAGCTGCATATTTTGGTTGTTTTGGTATTTTTGTTTTGTTTTTTTATTATTGATTTATTTTTATTAATTATGATTTACTCACTTTTTATGCTAGCTGAAGTCCCCACCTTCATCCCCTCCCAATCATGTCCTCCATCCCTCTTCTCCTCCCATTCCCCTCCCAAAATCCACTGATAGGAGAGATGCTCATCTTCTTCTAACTGACACTAACCTATCAGGTCTCATCAGGACTGGCTGCATTGTCTTCCTCTGTGGCCTGGTAAGGCTGCTCCCCTCTCAGGGGGAGGTGATCACAGAGCAGGCCAAACAGTTCATGTCAGACACAGCCCCTGTTCTTACTAGAGTACCCATTTGGACACTGAGCTGCCATGGGCTACATCAGTTCATGGGTTCTAGTTTATCTCTATGCATGGTCTTTGGTGGGATTATCAGTCTCAGAAGAAACCCCTGGGCCCAGATTTTTTGGTTCTGTTTCTCTCCTTATGGAGTTCCTGCACTTCCAGGTCTTTCTGTCTCCCCCTTCTTTCATAAGATTCCCTGAACTCTGCCCAAATTTTGGCTATGAGTTTCAGCATCTGCTTAGATACCCTGCTGGTTACAGTTTTTCACAATCCCTCTGTGGTAGGCTCCTGTCCCGTTCCCTGTTTTCTCCCTCTTCTGATACCCATGCCATTTGCCTTGAGGATTGATCATCTTCCCCAGGGTCCTCATTCTTGCTTATCTTCTTCAGGTGTACAGATTTTAGTATGTTTATCCTATATTTTATGTCTGATATCCTCTTACAAGTGAGTATGTGTCATGTGTGTCTTTCTGCTTCTGGGATACCTCACTCAGGATGATCTTTTTTAGTTCCCACCATTTGTGTGAAAAATTTCATGATTTCCTTGTTTTTAATTGCTTACTAGTATTCCATCCTGTAAATGTACCACAATTTCTGTGTCCATTCCTCAGTAGAGGGACATCTGAGTTGTTTCCCGATTTTGGCTATTTAAGATAGAGTTGCTATGAACCTAGTTGAGCAAATGTTCCTGCTTTATGCTTGAGCATATTTTGTATATTTAAATAAGAGCAGTATAGCTGGATCTTGAGATAGCATTATTTCCTCTTTTCTGAAAAAGCACCACATTGATTTCCAAAGTGGTTATACCAGTTCCCAGCAGCAACAGATGAGGGTACCCTTTTCTCCACATCCTCTTGAGTGTGTGTTACCCCTTGAGTTTTTTATCTTATCCATTCTGATTGGTGTTAAGTCAAATCTCAGGGTTGTTTTTATTTGTACTTCTCTGATGACTAAGGACACTGAGCATTTCTTTAAATATTTCTTTGCCATTCGATATTCCTCTATTGATAATTCTCTGTTTAGCTCTGTACCCCATTTTTAAAATGGATAACTTGATTTTTTGCTATTTAACTTATTTAGTTCTTTATATATTCTGGATATTAGGCCTCTGTCAGATATAGGGTTGGTGATGATCCTTTCCCAATCTGTAAGCTGTTGTTTTGTTCTGATGACAGTGTCCTTTGCTTTATAGAAGCTTTTTTTTTTTTTTTGTTTTATTAGGTCCCATTTATTGATTGTAGATCTTAGAGCCTGTGCTGTTGTTTTGGTCAGAAACTGTGTCCTGTGCCAATGAGTTCAAGGCTTTTCCCCACTTTTTCTTCTAACAGGTTTAGTGTTTTATTGAGGTCTTTGATCAACTTGGACTTTAGTTTTGTACCGGGTGACAAATATGGATCTATTTTCATTTTACTACATGTAGATATCCAGTTAAATTATCCAGCATCATTTGTTAATAATGCTGTCTTTTTTCCATTGTATGGTTTTGGCTTCTTTGTCAATAATCAAGCATCTGTAGGTATGTGGGTTTATTTCTGGGTCTTCTATTCAATTCCATTGATCCACCATTTGCTTTCTATGCCAGTACCATGGAGTTTTTATTACCATTACACTGCAGTAAGGCTTGAGATCATGGATGGAAATACCTCCAGACAATTGGTTGTTGTACAGGATTGTTTTATATGTTTGTTTGTTTTTCCATATGAAATTGAGAATTACTTAAGTTCTGTAAAAAAATTATGTTGGCATTTTGATGGAAATGGCATTCAATCTATAGACTGCTTTTAGTAAGATGTCCATTTCCCTATGTTAATCATTCTGATCCATGAACATGGGAGATCTTTACATCTTCTGATATTTTCTTCAATTTCCTTCTTCAGAGACTTGAAGTTTTTTTTTTTTTTCCTCAAAAAAGTCTTTCACTTGCTTGATTAGAGTCACACCAAGGTACTTTATGTTATATATGACTATTGTGAAGGGTGTTGTTGCCCTAATTTCTTTCTCAGTCATTTTGTCTTTCATTTGCTGGGGGTTATTGATTCTTTTGAGTTAATTTTGTATCCAGCCACTTTGCTCAAGGTGTTTATCAGCTGAAGGTATTCTCTGGTTGAATTTTTGGGGTGATTCATGTCATCTGCAAATAGTGATACTTTGACTTCTTTTCTGATTGATATCCCATTGAGCTCCTTTAGTTGTCTTATTGCTCTAGCTAGCACTGTAAGTACTATGTTGAAGAGATTTGGAGAGAGTTGACAGCTTTGCCTTTTCCCTGATTTCAGAGGAAATTATTTTTCTCTCTATTTAGTTTGATGTTGACTATAGGCTTGCTGTATATTGTCTTTACTACTTTTAAGTATGTGCCTTGTATCCCTGATCTCTCCAAGACTTCAAAACAAATGGGTGTTGGAGCTTGTCAAATGCCTTAAAGTTTTCTATGGGATAATAATAACATAAAATATAAGATAAAACAAAATTAAAATATTGGAATAGGACAAAAAACAAACAAACAAAAAAAACAAAAACAAAATAAAAAGAACCCAAGAGAAGGCACAAGAAACCAAGACTCACTCATTTCCACACTTAGTAATTCCATAAATGCATTAAACTAGATGTCATAATATATATTCAAAGCATCTGTAGTGTTAAAAATAGAGAAGCACTTCTGCAATCCTTGTGGTAGTGGCTTTTGTATCATCTGTGTGTCAGTGGGTGGCAGAGCGCAGAGAGTCTATGTCTAAGCTCAGTGTTCTGACCTATGAGCATCTGAATAGTCAGTAGCTTAACATTCCCTGAAAGGAAAACAAACAAACAAAACAAAATGGAAACAAATAAACTAACACCAGATTTGAGATGGCTACCAGTCTAGCACCAGGCAGCACGGACAGGGAGCAAGCGGAAGACTAAAAGAACTCTGACTATGGGCCCTGGGCAGGAGTGAACCCAAGACAGAGAACCCTGACATGGGGTCACATTGGTGGGTTAGGCAAGGAGCAATCCTGAGATGACCACTCGACCAGTATTATGGTGCCTAGACAGGGAACTAGTCTGAGATGACCTTAGGTCTGTCATCTCACAGTCCTGGATGGGGGAGGGGCAGACCTTGACCCAGGTGACTCATGCCTGGTGCCATAATGCACAATCATGGCATAACACTCCTGAGATGATCCCAGACACTCAGAGACCCCAGGTGCCACTAAGATGAGCAAGTAAGTGGTGGAGAAACAGAACAGAAAGAGAAACAGAAGGATGTGGGTACAGTGAAGAGAGGCAGAAGTGAAGACCCTAGGGTAGTGAGGAACAGCCCATGATGTCACCTGGGATCATATTGGAGTCCTGACCTGTACTTACACTAGGGGCCACATACTAATGGGCCTCTGGTCCTGCAGCAGAAGTGGTCTGATACCACCAAAGGCCAGGCAGATGTCCCTGGTCTAAGTTGCTGGCCGGGTACATATTGATGTCTGAGAACTGTGCAGAAGTAGCCCAACCCTTCACCTAGGCAGTGTTGACGATCTTGTTCTGGGGGACATGAAAGCAGGAGAGTTGACCCCATCCTACTCAGCTATAGTACTTGGGGGACTGGGCTCTGCACATTGCAGGAGTGAGCTGGCTAAGAGGAGTTGCAGGTGAGTTGGCTCAAAGGATACATACATGGAAGAGATGGCTCTACCACTCCTCAATGTGGTGGTATGGACAAGGGAGCAATACCCTCCTTTCCCTTCCTGCTATCCCCTCTTCCTCTCCCCTCCACCTTCACCACCTGCAGCAGGCAGGAGACCTTGCCCTTGGGTCATGAGAACGGGAGAGCTGGTTCTGTACTTCACCAGTTGTAACAGTTGGCCATGCACTTTCCCTGGACAGCACAGTAGAGCTGGCCCTGGCTGTGGGAGATGGAGGTGAGCCAGCCTCAAGGGCATAAGAGTGGGAGAGCCAGTGGGCCAACTAGCTCATATACCTCTCAGGCCCAGATCCAGGGCTTTGAATTGGCCCACTTCAACATCTACCCCATGGATAAACTGCTGTAATGCATGAAGAGGCTGGCCCTACAGATCCAAAATCTACAAGCTCTCCATGACACAGGAAAACAACAGGATATTTAAGAGAAGTCCCCATGAGTTTCTGGTATTGATAATGTAGCATAAGCCTAAGGCCTTGTACCAGACCAATGAGGCATTGCAATGATTATTTGCAAGCACATTAGTGTGGACAAAGGGTATACTGTGAGGCCCACTTTTATACAAAACTACTTTCACAATGAAATTATTTTTTTTTTCTTTTTTGGGAGAGGTTGCAGGGTAGGTACAAGGAGAG